TTAGTTACAACTGGAGCAGGCATCGTCCCTGCCAGGGTGCACAGTGACAGGCAGAAAGCGGCATCAGCAGCACACAGAGGGCCTCGTGAGCCAAGCCTGGGAATCTGCCTTGAACCTAGAGGCAACTAGAAGCATGTAAGGATGTGAAGTAAGGGAGTGACACAATCAGCTTTAACTCTTAACAATCACTGACACGACAAGCTAATAACAGGGCTGCCTCAGAGCAGGACTGACAAACAAGGTGGAAAGGAGATGCACCTCCTTGTGAACTGTCGGAATTCTATTACCATTTGCCTGAAGCCTGTTCAAAAGTAAAATTTACCTTTTAAAAAAAATTACTCTGCTAGCAACAGGAGGTATAGATTTGTGGGAGGCAAGCCTATTGGGAGAAAGAACAATTTATCAGACGGTCAAGGGGAAGACAGAATGGGCCTGAACTGAGATAAAGTGTTAGTGAGGATAAAGAAGAGAGGATAAAACAGAGAAATGGTTGGAACGGAAAACTCAAGATTTGTCATTAAATGTAGAGAAAAAAGGGAATGCAGGATCCAGCTTTTTGGGTGAGGGACTGTCTGTATGCAGCCATTCACAAATAAGAAACAACAGTAATTTCTAGGGAGGCAGAGGAGGGGACAGGGGTGAGTTCCACTGGATGCAGTGAATTACATGCGCCCATGGGACACGCGAGGAGACATGGCCAGCCACGTTCGGCACAGCTCTGGGTTGGCTATTAAGAACCCAGAAATCCTCAGCTCACGAATAAGGATGAAAGAGAACGGCAAGGGACAGGGTGCAGAAGGGAAAGAAGGGCTGAACTAGGAAACATTCTGAAGCCTCTACCAGCCACAGAGAAACGGCAGAGACTGCAGGCCAGATCCCGGAAACCAGAGCTGTTGCAGCAGAGCATGCAGCAACCTCCCTCCGAGAGACAGAAAAGGCAGCACTGGAAACCGAGGGACCAAAGAGGCCTTTCAGGGCAGCATCTTTACCTCCCAAATGAGGGACCAAGCCAGAAGAACTTAGTAGGAGCTACTGCTAACCGCTATCCTTATATTTACACTACTTTGTAGATTTATCCTTTACATAGAAAGATCTTCAACACTACACTGTGACATACTTAGGGGATATTACAATGGAATTTCATCTATATGAGGGTTATATTCTAAAGTGAGAAGGTAAGGTGGAAATCACCTTAACTCTCACATCATTTACATTTTATTACTGATTACACCATAGTAGGATTAAGAGAAAATTTAAAGGATGTTCACATAACCTTTGCAAGTTGCTAAATCTGCCCCTAAAGTACAGCGTGGTTGTGCAGCCAGCCCTTTACTGTCCTCCTCCCACACAGTGAATCTGGGAACCCCTGAGCCAGATGAATGGACGGCACCAAGGGAGAGTCCACACACAGCTGCCTGGGTCTTCGTACCATCCCATCTTCAGGATGACTCTCTACTCCTCAGCAGCTGAGGGGGAACGCAGAGACCTAAAGTAATCTACTTCCCTGCAGAACTGGCTCCATTTCATTTTCTGATATCTCATCATGTGTCAGAAGATGCGATGTTTGGGGACCATCAAAGAGAATAACACCTGAGAAAGCACCTAGCCCAGGACTGGCACACGGTGTGTGCCAGCAATGTGTGCTGGACTTGACACCCAGGTCCCCAAATGCCATTCACTGGAAAGCTGTAGAGAACTTGGCCCTCTGTTACTTGGCTTTCTAAGCTGGCATTTCCTGTTATGGCCCCACCAACTGCACTCACCCAAATGGCCAGGCAGGTGGAGCATTAAAGCTGGGGAAGAATGGTGAGGACTTGTGACCCAGCCCCTTCAAGCTCCCTACACTAAACAGGTGTACAGAGGTGCTGCCACATACCTCCATCTTGCAAATAAGAAGAGAAACTTATCCCTTTGAGTGTCAGGGCTCAAGTCCAGGTTTTCTGAGATCTTTTGTTCACCACACTAACTCTAAACAGTCAACTAACATGAAGGATGTAATGTAAAAAGTATGATAAGGAACACTGATGTTCCCGCTGAAACATTCGAGAAGTATATTGCTGGGCAACAGCAAGGTGAAAAAGGAAGTTTTCTGCATACATATGGAACAGGTTTGTATTAAACCCTTGAAGAGTAAGAAGCAGAAGTGTAAGATTCTCACACACAGCTGGCAGAGATCACCAGCTTGGCTAAAAGAAAGATTGCCAATTCATTAACCCAAGCATGCAATCCAACGTGCACATACTAACGAGCCAGACTGTAACAAATAAGAGAGTCTCTGCACTCCAGGAGCTTACAAAAGAAAAACAGGATATAAGGACAGAGAGGAAGGGGTGATGGAGAATATTAAAAAATAAAGTCATCAATCTGATAAAAGGCAACTATGAAAAAACTACAGCTAACATACTTAATGGTGGGAAATTGAACATTTTCTCTGTAAGTTCAGAAGCAAAGCAAGGCTCACTTTCTATTCAATGTTGTACTAGAGATTCTAGCCAATGCAATAAGGCAAGAAAAAAAAAGAAAGGTCATTCAGATTGGAAAGGAAGAAGTAAACAAACGTGTCTTTATTTGCAGACAGCATGATCTTATCTATATAAAATCCTAAGGAATCCACACACAAAAACCTAATAGAACTAATAAATGAGTTCAGCAAGGTTGCAGTATACAAAAGCAATATACAAAAGTCAATTGTATTTCTTTATATTAGCAATGACGAATACAAAAATGAAATTAAGAAAACAATTCCATTAATAATTCAAAAATAATAAAATACTTGGGAATAAATTTAATGAAAAAATGCAAGACTTGTTTACTGAAAGTATAAAACATTGCTGAGAAAATGTTTAAAAGATCCAAATAAATGCAGAGATTTCATATTCAGAGATTAGAAGACTCCACATTGTTAAATACAGCAATGCTGTCCCAAGAAATCTATAGATTCAATACAAACCCCATCAAAACCCCAATAGGGTTCTTTACAGAAGTTGACAAACTGATCCTAAAATGTAAATGGAAGTACAAAGGACTCAGAAGAGCCAAAACAATCTTTAAAAAAAAAATTGGAGACCTTATACTCCCCAATTTTGAAACTTACTACAAAGCTGCAACAATCATGACAGTGTTGTACTGGCATAAAGATAGACGTACAGCATACAGATCAATGGAACTTTCAAAGAATTGAGAGTCCAGAAATAAACACTTATGTTTATGGTCAACTAATGTTCACAAAGGTCCCAATTAATTCAATGGGGAAAGGATAGTCTTTTCAACAACTGGGTTTGGAAAAATAGATATTCCATGAAAACAGGATGGATTTAGATCAGGGTTCAACAAACTCTAGTGCTCAAGCCAAATCCAATCCAGTACTTAATTTTATAAATAAAGTTTTATTGGAACATAGCCACACCCACTTGCTTACATATTGCCTATGTCTGCTTTAACTCTACAGTGCCAAAGTTGAGTAGTAGTGATAAAGACCTTCTGGTAAGCAGAGCAGAAAGTATTTACTATCTGGTCATTTACAGAAAAACTTTGCCAACCCTGATTTAGAGCCTTGCCTCACAACATACACAAAAATTAACTCAAAATGGATCATAGACCTGAATATAAAAGCCAAAACTATAAAACCCTTAGAAGAAAACATAGGAGAAAATCTCTATAACCTTGGGTTAGGCAAAGATTTCTTGAGCTATGACACCAAAAGCACAATCAATAAAAGAAAAAAATTGATAAAACTAAACTTCATCAAAATTACAAATGTTTGCACTTCAAAGACACCACTAAGAAAATGAAAAGAGAAGCCACATATTAGGAGAAAATATCTGCAGATCATAATATGATAAAGGGCTTATAACCAGCATAAAGAGATCTTATAACTCAATAATAAAGACAACCTTATTAAAAGGGGACAAAAGATCTGAATACACATTTCACCAAAGAAAATATATAGATGGCAAATAAGCACATGAAAAGATGTTCAACATGATTAGTTCCTAGGGAAATGCAACTTCAAAGCACAAGGATACCATTTCACACCCACTAGAATTACTATAGTCAAAAAGACAAACAATAACAAGTGTTGGTGAGGATATGGAGAAACTGAACCCCTCATATACTGCTGGTGGGAACATAAAATGGAACAGCCATTTTAGAGCAGTCTGACAGTATCTTAAAAAGTGAAACCTAACAACTCACCAAATTCATAAACAGAATAACCCAGCAATTCTACTTCTTAGGTATCTATCCAAGAGAAATGAAAACATATGCTTGCAAAAAACTGGTATGCAAATGTTCATAGCAGCATTATTCATAATAGTCAAGAACTGGAAACAATTTGGATGTCCATCAACTGGGGACTGGATAAACAAAATTAGTATATCCATACAATGAGATACTATTCAGTAATAAAAAGGAACAAACTACTGATACATGCTACAACATCAATGAACCAATACCAAAAACATTATGCTAAGTGAAAGGAGCCAAACATATAAGATGTATGAGTACATTTACATGAAACGCCCAGAGAAGGCAGAAGGATTAGTGGTGAGCTGGGAGTGGGAATAGTGACTGCATATAGGCACGAGATGTTTTTAATTCCTGTAAATGTGCTAAAATCCGACTGTGATGACAGTTGCTCAACTCTGTAAATTTGCTAACAGATCACTGAAATTGATGAATTTTACATGTAAAATACATCTCAATAAAACTATTTAAAAAAACAACAGAAAAATCACCATCATCAGATAAAATCTTTCCAAAGCTCTACTCCTGATCTGAGAATTGCAATGTTGGCCCCGGGGTAACCAGTAAACAGCCCTGGCTGGCAGTCAGCGCCCACCAGCTCTCCAATCTCATCACCCGGCCAACTTTCTCCAACATCCCACCCTGTGTGGCTGCCAAGCAAATGGGCTATGGAGTTGGGACATCTGAGCTTCCAGCTCTACCTCTAACTCCCTGTGACCCTCGGTTACTTCACCTCCTTGAACCTGTTTCCTCACCTCTGAGGAGACAATATCTCACAAGGTCAGCATGCGGAATATCTGAGGCAGTGCTCTTCGAACACGCAGCACAGAGCAAATGTGTGCACTCTTCCCATGGCTGGCTCAGGCACATCTTCCATGTCACCTCCTCCCAGAGGCAGCATCCGACCATCCCACCACCACCAAGTAGCCCATTACTCTTTGCATGCTTTTTGTTTCCTTCATAGCACTTGCAGGTCTTTTTTATTCTTTTGCCTCTTTTTTCTTTCTTTTTGTCTGCTTCCCCCGCCTGGGCTGAGGTCTCCGTGGGGGTAGGGACCTTGTGCTTTGTCCCTTGTTGTCTCTGCAAGGCCCGGCCCAGTGCCTGGTAAGTAACTGGCCAACTTTGGTATTCCAGCTGAAGTTGGTTGCTTGTCAGCATTCAGACTCCTGCCATGTATGTACCTTCTCTTACTGGAGAATGAGGCTAAAGGTACTGGTTGAAATGAAATCTTTATGTATTTCACACACGCTTGCTCTGAAAACTGAAGTTAAATATAATTACAGCATTTTGCATTAATTAAATATCTTTTACCTTCCAAGGAATTAGAGTTTGGACTCGATATGTAAATTTATGCAAAAAAGTGTGCAAACTAGCAAGGCCACGGCCTTTAATTTTAAGGGAATTAGAGCACTTTCTAGGACTAGGCCTGGGGGAACTAATTACAAGTGGTCTTTAAGAATATTTAACTTTCTCTGAAGGAGCTGGGGCATTTTCTTCTTGGGCATCTACCTTCTATTAAACTAATTTCTCATTGGTTCATTCAGTGATCTTTTCTACTGATTTTTCACTTGTCTGGCTAAAGACATGGTGGACTCCCCAGCCTTCAAATAACTTTGCTAGCAGAAAAAGCCCCTACACCAAAGCACTTAACTGCAATCACCTCCTTTCTGTGCTCTCCCTCTCAGACCAGGCACACAGGTGGAAGGAAGAAAGGAAGGGGCTCTCAGAGCATGGGGCTGCCCACCCACTGTGTGTCTCTAGACAAGCAGTTATTCTCTCTGATGAGTTTGCCCAGCAGTGAGTCAGAAAAACTCCCTCAAGTTTATAGTCTCTGGTAGAACTAAGTGGGCGCCAGCACCCTGCAGGCCAGGTAGAAGCTCTGTCACAGAATGTTCACGCTGCCTTGCATGTCACTGGGGGATGGGAACTTGGAGTAATGAGAAAAGGCTGTTGCTGGAACACAAAGGTCTGGACGAAAGTCCCAGAAATTACTGAGGTAACACTTCAGACAAATTTCTTAACCTCTCTAGGCCTCATTCTCCATCTTAAAAGAGAATTTATACTTTGCAGAATTAAGAGAACTAGAAATAAAAGGCACCTGGTCTGATACACCCAAAAAAGATGATGTTCCTGTCAACTTAGAGGAAGTCACCTTCAAAGGGACTCTCCGCTCAACCTAAAAGACTCCAACTGACCTATCTTGCCAGCATCCCAAAAGCAGGACATCACGTGACAAAGGTGGAAGAGCACCCAATCAGAGCCAAGGGTGTCTTCCTAAATGCCAATTCAGGCTCTTGCCTCTCAACCCTCCAACACAAGCCACCTCCTCCCTACCACCTTTTGTCTTTGCCAAGAGCCAGGTCAAGACTAGATAACACCTAGCAAGCACCAAATGGGCTAAGCACTGTGCTAAGAATAGAGGCTCTCACAAAATAATCTATACTTTTTCTAAACACCTCCACACACATCTTCATCTCATCAGGCAGCACCCAGGGTTATCACACCCTCCTCCCATTTTTTAAAAAAATGTGGTGATTGAGACTCAGAAGATAAGCTGCTAATCTTATCTTACACAGCTAATGAGCATTTCCTGAGGTTAGACCTCCTCATATCTTTTTCTGAGTCACCTCCCTAATTAACTAATTCACCTACATCCAGCTCTGTGCATTCCATTTAACCTTGGTCCCTGTTTCACTGGGTTCCTCCATTTAATTACTCAACAATTATTCACAAAGCACCCACTATGTGCCAGGCACAGGTGGAGGAAAGGAAGCATTTAATAAGCAAGTCCTGGACTTGGCCTATTTCAATCCCAGCTCTCCCACTTGTTACCTAGGTGACCTTGGATGAGTTACTTCATCTCAGTGCCTCAGCTGACCTTATCTGTAAAATGGACAAATAGAAATCTCCCTCACTTATAGGGCTGTGGAAAATGAGAGGATACCTGTAAAGGGTTTAACACAACTCATGGCTCCCACTGAGCACTCACATGTGAGCCGCTCTTATCGTTCTCCTAGGTTCCGGCGCTGGAGCCGGGAACCAGACAAGAGCTTGAGTCTCAAGGAGGCTACACTGTAGTAGGAAACACAGTGACCAGCTTGTTATCAACAGAAGTTTCAAATGGTGATGAGTACTACGAAAAAAGTAAAGGTGTGACAGTGGGGATGGGAAGCTCCTTTAGACTGAGCGGTCAAGGAAGGCTATTCAGATAACATGTGAACTACAACAAGAATGGTAAGAGCTAGATATAAGAAAAGCTGGACAAGAGCAAACAGCGAATGCAGAGGTTGTGTGCTTGGAGCAAGCTGGCAACTTGCAGAGACAAGAAGGTCCTGAGGCCAGTGAATAGATGGGGAGTGGGAGTGAGGGTACTGGCATGAGCTGTGGTCAGAGAAGTCGGCAGCACAGCTTTGTAAAACAAGGTAAGGCGGTCCCTCTTCAGTTTAAAGGCGCTGGGGATCCAGTGGAGGGTTGTAAGCAGAGGGACGGGTATATGATGATTCACGACTTTCAAAGCGCCCCTTGGCTGCGGCGTTGAGAGGCTGTGGCAGGTGTCCAGGATTGGAAGCATCGCCGTACGCAGAACACGATGCGCGCACTAGGGCGGGGGACAAATTCAGGTCTGTGATAAGCCACCTGGCGCTGGAACATGGCCTCCCCACCTGTCCCGTTCTCCACTCCTTCTCCCCGAGGCCAACCTGATGCCAGGGTGGTGGTGAAACCTGCCGGAGACCACTAGCGGCCGGGGACCCCAGGCATCTCCGAGCCTCACCTCCCTCTTCTACACGGCGGAGGGACAGCCGCTCGCCACCAGGGAGTCGGGAGGACTCACGGGCGAGACCGCCCGCTCTCCGACCCGCACCTCCCTCACCGGCCCGGCCTCCGCGCCCGCCGCCCGCCGGCCCAGGCCGTGCTCGCTGGTCGCGCCCGCCGGCGGCCCGCTCACCCGGATGCCCTGCAGCACCCGGACCCGCTCCTCCTCATCCATGCCGAAGGACACCCTGCGGCCCTCGCTGCTCTCCGTGCTGCCCATGGCAAGAGGCGGGCAAAAGGAAGCCAACTGGCTCAGGAGTACAGGCAGACGCCCAGCGGCGGCTCCCTGCGCGCCCTGCGCTTGCCGGGGGTGCAGGGACACAAGCCAACAAAGCCGCTCCTTATTGGCCGCCACTGGAGGCTCAGCCAATCATGTGGCGTGGGCCCGCGGGGCATTGTGGGAGTTGTAGTCTCACCAGCCCAGCTGCCCTTTGAGAACCAGGGATCGCGGGGAGGCGTGGTGCCTGAGCTGTGGGAAGCGTTGGAGGGAAGCTGAGAGTGGGTACGGGCAGAGAGCCTGGAGTGGTAGGCTAAGGAGCAGAGCAGAGGTGGTGAATGCTCACTCTGGAAACCCTGTTACCGGACCAAATGTGGGTCCCTTCTTGGGAGTTAAACTGTGCCAGAAATAGTTGTTTCACAAAGTCGAATTTTTATTTGTTGCATGCAGCAAAGAAGATGGAGATCATAGGGAATAATTTCACTAGGGTATGCTCTACCCACCCCCCAGCACAGGGAGGTGGGTATCTTTATTTGGGGTAGGAAATGAATATTCAAAGAGGAAGTTTCCTTATTACTTGCAGAGATGGGCATAAGCTTGCACATGCGTGGTCTGAAATCATGCGTCTACATACATCACACGACCTAAAAATGGCCGCTTGGCCCTTCCCAGAGGGGAAGAATTTAGGATGACGGCAGGTTACTTTAGTAGAACTCTCCGCCTACCAGTGCAGTTGCCAGTATTGTGGTTGCACCCTGGGCTGACCCGGCCTGATTCAGCGCGGCTGGGCCCATGGCAGTGGTCGCTTAGAGCTTCTTCCTGGAACATAGCTGAAAACCACATAAGCTCAACGCCCTGAGGTGTTAGATAAAGGAACACCGGCGCGTTTCAAGAAGACAAGAGAATAAGGTCAAACATAAAGGTTAGATTTTTAAGCAAGACGAGAGAAGCGGGTTAGGGCCCATGCCTGGTGACAAGACCACCCTTGAAGCAGAGCCAAGGTGATGGTCTGAGGCCAGGAGACCACCGAGGAGCTGAGCTGAGCATGCGGAGGTGCATTTCAGATGGTTCCCTGATTGGTTCACTCAGCAAACTTGCATTGAGCAGCGCTCACTAAGCACCGGGTAAGCATGACCTGGCCATGGGGAACACAACAACAAACAAGCCATGGCCTGCCTTGATGAGGTTTAGATACAGTGGAGGAAGCAAATGAAAACAGAGACCAGCAAGCACGTAAATAAACTTGCTAACACTGTGATAAGTGCCATAAACGGAAAGCTACAACATCATGAGGCTATGAGAGAAAATAATAAGGGCGGGGGGGGGGTCTCCTTTACTTTGAGAGGCAAGAGGAATCTCTTTGAGGAAGAAGCATTTGAACTGAGCCCTAAGGACTAGTAGGAGTCAGCCAGGAGAAGATGGGGGAAGAACTTTGCTGGGGACCAACCAGTGCAAAAGCCCTGAGGTGGGAAAGATCTTACCGCATTCACAGCCCAGCTTCAGGACTGCAAAGTGAGAAGAGAGCAGAGGAGAGCCAGAGGCAAAGTGCTCACAGGAGCAGGAAGGGCCCAGATCATGTAGGGCCTTATAGGCCAGGATCAGTGTTTTATTTTAAATGCCTTGGGAGGACAGTGAATGATCCTAAACATTTAGGAGACATTGTCCAAGGAGCATACACATGATGCATTGAGCGCAGCATGCCAGGCATTGTGTTTATGTTTCTTACATAGGATCATGTGTGTAATGGAAAAACACAACTAGTTGCTATTCACAGCCACAGCGACCTTGACTGAAGGCCCCTTTTGTACATCTGACTTGCTGAATGGCTTTGATTTGCCAGAGTGGGCCTAGAGCTGAGTGTGGAATTTTGGAACTGGGGAACATTGGATTACTACACGAAATAGCAAGAATCACTTAGAGCTCCTTTTGGCAACCTGGAAAGGAAAGGGTGAGGAGGAGAAAGTGAATGAGAGAGACCAGTGAGATGCTCTGACGTGAGAACAGCTTGGGTGAAGAAGTCAGTGAACACTCCAGAGGCACGGTGGCCAGAGGATTGTTACGAACAAGGATATCTGCTAGTTTCAATCTAAATACTTTTTTGCAACTCTCCCTCCATCCTTTCTGTCCTCCATTTCTTCTCTGTAAACAGAGCCTGAGGAGGTGATTCTGGTGCAAGTGATCACTGGGGGAGTGCCTCAGGAGAAAGGAAGTAAGGCGACAGAATACAGCAGGGGGAAAAGCTAGGTAAAGATGTGGTCAAAGCTAGAGACTGGTTTCGGCCTGATCCCACAGGGGATTCTGGAGCACAAAGTACATCCAAAATTAGTCCCACTTTGAGTCAAAGGGACAGGCCTTCTGTCCCCCCACAATAGTCAGTCATTGGCAGCCTAGGACATTTCCCCAGCAAAGGGGGCATCTGTGAGCTGTCAACAGCCCACACCCACAGCGGCTGGGGAATGGCCTCATCAGCCTGTAAAAAAAGCTGGGTGAGGCACTTTCAGCATTCATTACACGCTCCAAATATTTTTCATGGTCTCCTGGACACGTCTTCTGTGACCGTGTGTGTGTGGGGGGGGGAGGATCGTAAAAATTTAGGAAAGGGCTGGATTTCACTTCTGGGTTGAATGCTGAAATAATTAACTCACTGAACTAACTCAGCAAAACAAGAGTCAGAGTCATGGGTGACCATGAGACTGTGTGTGGTCTCCCCCTCCCCCTACTGTGTGCAAAATCCTGGGAAAGATTTGGAACTCCACAAGACAGAGTAAGCGTTATACTGACAGCAGCATAGCTGAGCCCCATGACAACCCAACACCTTCTGTATCCCCATTTCTCAGACAAGAAAACTGAGGAGCAAACAGGCGAAGATAATGTGACATTATAAATCCAAAGTAGGATGAAGATTTGAATAAAGGTAGTGGCAGAGGAAAGGAGAGGAAGGGAAATTCATGTATTGGGAGCACCTTCTTTGTGCCAAGCTCTACAAAACAGGCACACATGCATTTCATGCAGTTAATCCATGGCGAATTCATTTAGTCCTGGAAATCATCCTGAGAGAGCTCTCACCCATCCGAAGGCCAGGACACTGAGAGTTTGGGGAGGGAAGTTGTTGTGACAGATCCACCAGTTACTGCCAGGTACCCAACTTCCCTTTCCTTACAACAGAAGCCCTATTCCCTTCAGTACAACAACATGCCTGGTTAGAAAAATTGCCTCCTAAGCTCACACTGGCCAAACTTGGGACAAGTTGAGCATTATAACAATTTGAGTTCATAACACATTTAATTTTTTTTGAAATCCAATCATCCACGTGTTGAAAGAGAGAAACGATGGAAAAAGAGTGGAAAAATCTTATTTACAAAAGAATGCCAGCAAATAAATGTGAGATTTAAAACTTGCCATTTTGCAACCCTCGGTGAATTAACTGAATCAGGCAAAAATCATCAATGGATACTAAAGCTATTAGGTGAAAGGTGATTGGGAAACAGGATGTTCACCCAACCTCCCACTCTCACTACAGATGCCTTAATAACTGCAAAGGGAAAACTGTGCTACAATGACAGGACCTGGAATTCACTGCCTTAGCCAAATGGCCAAATTCAGCATCGTGAAAAGTGGGGACGACCTGACACAATGTCCCTCCCAATGCGATGCAGTAAGGAGCACACAACATCCCCTGTGGGGTGTTGTTCTCAAAAATGTGTGACCTGAATCCAATCATGAGGAAACAATCAGACAAATCCAGAATGTGAAACATCCTGCAAAATGACAGTCCTGGACTCTTCCAAAAGGTCAATGTCGTGAAAACCAAAACAAAACAAAGTTAGTTTAAAAGAGATGAAAGAAGCATAAAAATGAAATGCAACAGTGAATCTTGATTAGTCCTGGATTAAAACGATAACAGCAACAACAACAACAAGGGTGTGAAAAGGTAATTGGGACAATTGGGGAAGTTCGACATGTGGACTATTGTCCTAGATGATATTATTGAATTAATGTTAGTTTTCTTTTCTTGGGAGATGCATGCTGATGTATTTGGGCTGGAGTGTTATAGAGTCTGCAACTTGCCCTCAAAGATTCAGGCAAAAAATGTTAACAATAGGTGTATCTAGTGAAATATATACTGGAGTCCATTTATTATTCTTTCACTGTTTTTATGACTTTGAAATTTTTCAGAATCATAATTAGGAATAAAATAAAATTCTGCACTTGGGGAAAAAATACTTCCCTCTCCAGATTCCCTGGTCCCTTGCAGCTAGAAAGGACCCTGTGACCCAACTCTGGCCAAGGAGGCTCTTGAGCAGTGAGGTTCCCAGAGAACAACATGTTGCTGAAGAGAGCAGTGAGATGTGCCAATGTGAGATGGGGTGCAGGGCTGAGGGCTGCCTCTTTCTAGACCTCCACCTCTGGGCAAGTTATTGAATCTCCTTGCACCTCAGTTTTCTGATGGATGTAAGAGAGGTGCTGACATGACATGGAGTACCCAGAGCTTGGCACTTAGTGAACTCATTCAGACAGCTGTTATTAATGCCAGCCCTGATATCAGTTCCCCTACATGAAACCCAGGATATATGGGGTTAAAACCAAAAGCACCCATCCCCTCTCCCTGCTTCTCCAAGTTACATTCATCTGTAGATATCTGTTTCTTTAACCTTTGTATCCCTGAAGTTTATTACAGGGAAACTGATATCCAGAGACTGTCAAGAAACTGAAGCTTCCCAGACCTCAACTCCTTGGCTTCCTGGCACCAGAATCCACCATCCATCAATGGAGACAGACAACCAAGGATATCCACATCCAGATTCCCTTTTCTCGCCATCCCCTTTTCTGCAAGCAGCCACACAAAGCCAAACACAGGCTGGTGGGAAGGTGCCAACCAGCAAGGCCACATACTCCCCCTCCCCCACCTAAAACCTCAAATAAAAACCCCTACCTTTTTTACTTCAAGGAAGTGGATTTGAGTTTTAGGTCCAATCTCCGAATCTGGCCGCCTTTCGATAAAACCCATTCCTTGCTATGAGCCTGGGGTGCCAGTTTTTACTTCGGCCCATCTTGGTGGGTGGGTAA